CTGTAGGTAGACCCACAATGCCCTTAGGGAGGGAGTTCCAGGATTTTGACCCTGCAACAGTGAAGGAATGACAACACATTTCCAAGTCAGGGTGGATGTGGCTTGGGGGAGAACTTGCAGGGGGTGGTGGACCCATATATCTGCTGTCCTTGTCCTTCCAGATGAGTGTGGTCATGGGTTCGGAAGGTGCTGTCTATGAGCCTTGGTAAATTTTCTGCAGTGCGTCTTGTAGATAGTACACACTGCTGCTACTGAGCATTAGTGGTGGAGGGAATGGATGTTGAACCTGGTGAAGGGGGTGCCAATCAAGTGGGTTACTTTGTCTTGGATGGTGTCAAGCTTCCTGAGTGTTGTTGGAGCTGCACTCATCCAGGCAAGTGAGGAATATTCCATCGCACTCTGACTTCTGCCTTGTAGATGGTGGACAGGCTTTGGGGAGTCTGGAGGTAAGTTACTTGTTGTGGGATTCTTGGATATTCAGTTCAGGTTATTGATAAACCGTAGAATATTGATGGACCCAGGGATTCAGATGCATAGCTCTTTGAAAGTTGTGTCACACACAGACAGGTTGGTTAAGAAGGCGTTTAGCACGCTAGCCTTTATTGCTTAGACCATCGAGAATAGAAGTTGGGACGCCATGTTGAGGTTGTACAGGAAGTAGGTGAGGCCTCTTTTGGAGTACTGTGTTCAGTTCTGATTGCCCTGCTATAGGAAGGATGTTATTAAATGGGAGAAGGTTCAAAAAAGATTTACCAGGATGTTGCTAGAACTGGAGGTTTAGGCTATAAGGTGAGGTTGGATAGGCTGGGACTTTTCTTCACTGGACTGTAGAGGCTTAGGGGTGACCTTTTACAGAGGTTTATAAAATCATGTGGGCATGGATAAGGAGAATAACAAAGTTCTTTTCCCTAGGGAGGGTGAGTTCAAAATTAGGCAGCATATTTTTAAGGTGAGAAGAGAAATATTTAAAAGGGACCTGAGAGGCAGAAGGTGGTTTGTGTGTGGAATGAACTGCCAGAAGAAGTGATAGATGCAAGTACAGTTGCAACATTTTATAAAACATTTGGACAAGCACATGGATAGGAAAGGGTTTAGAGGGATATGGGCCAAACACAGGCAAGTGGGACGAATTTAGTTTGGGATACTTGGTCAGCATGGGTGAGTTGGGCTGAAGGGTTTGTTTCCATGACTCTATGACCTCTTGCGGAATTTCAACCTGAACTGTGTGTTCACTGCACTGTCTCATGCCTGCCTGTATTGTATTATACATACTCATGTGGTGAGTGTCACTGGCTCAGGTGTGCAGCCACAAGGTTGCAACTTAATTCCAACGCTGTACCTGAACAGTTAATGGCTAAGTGTATACAAAGAAGTTGGGGGATAGCCAGCTTCACAGACTTTTTGCGCAAGACGAAACCAGGCACTGCTTGCTCAGCAGGAATCTGGGTGACAAGGGTTGCTAAAAGGCTGCCTGACCTTCATAGTTATCAAGGTTACTCAGTTAAAGGCAGTCAGAAGGACAATGAAACTGATGTACCATATCTATACGACCCTTGGATGGATGATCTCAGAGTCATGAGGGCCCTGGGCAGGAGTCAAACTTTCAAGAGAAAACATGTGTTTTGAAGACATCAGCAGCTTAATCTAGGAATAACCATCACTGAAGCAGGACCAAATTGAGCTCGAAGTTCAGGGAAGGAGGACAGACCCAGCTGAGTGACCGTAGCCTGGCCAGCTGTGCCTCATCTCGTGCTGGGTAATACTACATCTGCACCTTTGTGTTGTGATTTTATGATTTGATGCAATGGTTTTAAATTGAGTGAGTGATAAATAAAACCATAGATTGCAGTAACATTACAGACTGTAATTATTGTGTCGACTGGTGTTGATCTGGAGTGGACAATGGGTAACCAGCATTTGTTACCTATTCCTAATTGCCCTTCAGAAGGTGTGCCGCCCTCTAACTGAGTGGCTTTCAAAACCATTTCAGGAGCAGTTAAGAATCATCCAGTGGATTTGGAATCACCGATTGGACAGATCAGACAAGCCTAGCTGATTTCCTCCTCTAAAGGCATTCACTCCAACTGTGGTTTTCACAACAATCAAGTTTTTCTGACCACACCATGAACTGGTTGAGGGCCCCCTCTTGTGTTTTAGCCACAATGATGCATAGAATCTGTGCAGTAACCCCAGTAATTGGTGTTAGTAATTGTATTGTGCGGGCTGTGAAAAAAGGTGCTTCTGACAGACACCAAGGGAGCGGCATTAAATGTAGAGATGGTTGAATACACGATGGAGAAAAGGACTACAAAGAATTGTTGATTTAAGTGGAAGGGGTTTCATTTGTCCCAGAAACTGGCGAGGACAACCTCAGCGCTGTTTTAATTTTCAAGTAATTCAGTGTATCAATGAGATCAGTTTTCTTTCCAGCTCGGTATATATATAACATTTCAAAGAGGTTAATGTAGGAAAAAACGTGAGAAGTAAGGATAAACTGGTGTGGAATTAATGTTGAGCTAACCATAATCTAAATAAAATGAGAACCAATTCCTAGGTCAAAAAGGACACAGGTTTATTTTGAGGGCTGATGTTGCACCACTGCTTTGCAACACAATCAGCTGGAATTGTCAACATCGAGATCTGATTTTGCACTGGACCCTGTATCTGACCTCCACTCGCTTGCACCTTGTACCATGCAGCTTACAGTCATGGGATAAAATACGCAGCTGGAGACCATTCAGTCCAACAAGCCTACTCCACCATTTAATATGATCATGGCTGGTATTGGGCTTCAATTCCACATTCCCACCCGATTTCCCCCATATCACTTCAATCCCATGATCCATCAGAGACGGTCCCCTATTTCACAGGTTAAACAAATTTGTTAAAGTCGTGTACAGTGCTATGATTCATGAGAGTGTTAAGTAATCGCAGTGAAATTTCACCTGGGAGAAATTCTACTTTATCAAGCCACTGAGAGACGATTAAGTCAAGACCATTTACAGTGACAGAATTCTACAACAACATTGTGCATGATCTGGTTTTATTGATTAAATTCTTTGAATTACATGCGATGGCAGAGTGCTTCATTAGTGATTGAAGGGTTAGGGATTTCTCACAAAACTGACATTCCAATTTTACATAGTGCTCGAACAATCTGGATTGAGAAAACTGCATAAAAGCAGGACAGCAATTTCCAATTGCTTAATTTACAAGGCGTGCTCAGAATTGGGTCCTGTATGTCAGCTGAGTTCCACAGTGCTAAGTTGCTGAGTTACCAACTTGAGCTTATACTTTAGAATTGGAGCTGCCCCAGATTCCTGGAAATCACTAGAGTGGTGGGGGAGCGGGAGAGAAAGGGGAATAGAGTCTGGATGTCGCCGGAGATTCTTAATCTCAATTGAACGTCTGTTGCTGTGTTGCAATTTTTATTGGTTGCTGAAAAAGGATACATTTTCTCAATGCTTTGTATCTTGCACTCAACAGGACAATTTGCAAGAAATACCAATTTGAAAGGAAAATCAATATTTTTGTTGCGTGAGAAGAGAGTACTAATTGGTTGGCAAGTGGACATTTATTGATAGAGGGCTTTGAAAGCTTGTGATTTCAAGTAAACCTGTTGGACTATAACCTGGTGTCGTGTGACTTCTAACTTTGTCCACCCCAGTCCAACATTGTTGTCTCCACATCCTGGTTAATGATGACTGACAGTTAACTGCCAAGGTCTGTTTAAATTTTGAACAAGGCAGGTTGCATCTGATTGGTCACTCAGATTTGAATCAGTAAAGAGTTGTCACCTATTTTGGTGTAAAATTCAAACAAAGCCTGGTTGTTAACTGCCAATCACATTAACTAGTGCATTCCCCATAGCAACACCTCTATCCATCGCAGTTAACTTGTCAAATAATCAGCATTCTCCTCCTGTTGGTTTTCCCCTTTAAATTGGTATTTTTGCAAATTGTCCTGCTGAGTAAAAGATGAAAAGCTTTGTCGAGAGTCTTTTCTTCACCAGTACTCAAATTCTATGCTACAAAAAACAATTTTGATTTAAGTCTGCATATAGTAGGATAGGACGACAAGGGATGAGCTGACTCATTCGGGAGGGAACAGCTGGCAGTTTTGTCCTTGACACCAGGTGAGGTTTTGAGGGAGCAGCTGCATGCATGCATCTTCAGTTTTAGCTATAACTGCGGGCTATGGAAACTCAGTCACCGTCTACATTTGAGATTGATATTGCTGAAGTCTTCGACACTGAAGGAATCGAGGAGATTTGGACAGCACCTGGAAAATGGAGTGAAGGTAGAAGATTCAGCCATAATCATGTTGGCTATTTTCCCTGAAGCGTCGGAGGCTGAGGCGTGACCTTATAGAGGTTTATAAAATCATGAGGAGCATGGATAAAGTGAATAGCCAAGGTCCTTTTTCCCAGGGTAGGGAAGTCCAAAACTAGAGGGCATAGGTTAAGGTGAGGGGGCAAAGATATAAAAGGGACCTGAGGGACAACATTTTCACACAGAGGGTGGTGCGTGTATGGGATGAGCTGCCAGAGAAAGTGGTGGAGGCTGGTACAATTACAGCATTTAAAAAGCATCTGGATGGATACATGAATAGGAAGGATTTAGAGGGATATGGGCCAAATGCTGACAAATGGGACTAGATTAATTTAGGATATCTGGTCGACATGGACAAGTTGGACCGAAGAGTGTTTCCGTGCTGTACGTTTCGATAACTCTATGACTGGCGGAGAACACTGAAGGGATCACATGGCCTCTTGCTACTCCAAAAAGTGAGTTATTATTCTCAATTACTTATTCAGTCAAAGTCAGGAATTTGTTCATTCTGCTGCCTAGTTTTTTTTCATTCATTAACAGGATGAGGGCGTCGCTGACCTAATTATTCAATGAAAGGAATTATGCACAATGCTCGCAATCCAGCAATATTAGCTGCTAAACTAAATTGACAAACAGTGGGCAGTTTTCTAATGGATATCAAACAAATTCTAGAATGAAACAATATTTATTCAAGCTCTGGGGAATTTTTTTGAGAAGTAGATACCATCGCACTCAAGAGTTGGAGGGTACTTGGAGACTGGCGTTTCCATTGTCTACTCTGCTCCCAAAGTGTGCTTGTTGAACAGATATTCAGCCATGCTATTCTGAGGGGCACCTAAGCGATGCAGGTTGGTGATGTGGTCGCCAAGTTTCTTGATGGTCTTGACTTGCTTCTCCAAGTAGTGGGTCTCCAGGAAGTTAGACAACTGGAAGAGAATGAAATGTAACCACTGTTCACTATGCACGAAATATGGACTGCTTTTGAAGGTTAAAGCAAACCTAGCAGTCTAGGCATGGACAAGTTGTCCAATTTTGTTTGCAGTCTCCTTTTTTAGTGAAGGAGAATGAAAGAAAATGGCGCAGGAATAATCAATAAATTATTCACCTGAATCTGTTCCTCACCTAACAATGAGGTCATGACAGACTTCTACATTAAGTCACCTTAGAATCATACAATACAGAAGAGACCCTTTGGCCCACTGAGTCTGTGCAGAAAGATGCACTGCTACCTATACTAGTCCCATTTTTCCATACTAGAGTCCATTACCTTGAATGGTATGACACTTCAAGTGCCCTTCCAAGTTCTCTATAAAGGTTATGAGGTTTCCTGCCTCAACTACCCAGGCAGTGCATTCCAGACCCTCACGGCCCTCTGGGTGACAATGATTTTCCTCAAATCTCTTCTAAACCTCTTGTTTTTCACTTTAAAATTAAGCCCCCTTGCTATTGACCCTTCTACTAAGGGGAACTCTGTTCACACCCTCCATAATCATAGGCTCCCCTGTGTCAGACTTCACTGCTCCAAAGAAAACAACCTGATTATTCCAGCCTCTCTTCACCACTGAAATGTTCCATCCCAGAGAACATCCTGGTGAATCTCCTCTGCACCCCCTCCAGTGCTATCACTTTTTACCCATAGAGTGGTGTCCAGAACTGTACACAGAACTCCAGTTGTGGCCTAACCAAAATTCTGTTCAGCTCCAACATGACCTCCCTGCTCTTACCAGCTATGCTCTGACTGATAACTGCAAGCATCCTATATGATCCTCAATTAATCTATTACCCTGACCTTGTAACCCATGGTTCTGGACTCTCCAGTCAGGGAAACAGCCTCTTTATATCTGCCCTGTCAAGCTCTCTAGGAATGCTATATGTTTCAACAGGCTCATCTCTCATTCTTCTAAACTCCAAAGAACATAATCACTTTCTACTCAATTGTAAGTTCATAGGAATGTAGAAAACAGGAGCAGAAGTAAGCCATTCAGCCCTTTGTGCCTGCTCTGCTCCTCCCTCAACTACATCATTGTTAATCTTCTACCTCAACACCATTTAGCCACGGTATCCCTATCTCACTTGATGTCTTACAGATTGTTAGATTTATAGATCTCCCATGGCTTGACTCTACAGCCCTCAGGTTAAGAGAATTCCATCACCTTGTGAGTGGAGAAATTCATATTCTATCAGTCCTAAATGTCCTAAGAGACTCTTTAGTCTGGGGCTCTGTCCCCTGATTCTAGATTCCCACTCTCCAGCCAGAGGAAATCTCCTTCCTGCTTATACCCTCTTGTAAGAACTCTGCTTTCTTCGATGAGATCACCTCTCATTCTCTAAACTGTAGAGAGCATGGGCTCCTCATGTAACAATCTGACAACCTTGGGGTTATTCTGGTGAATCCTTTGTTACACAAACCACCGGCATCTACCAAGACATGTCTTCCTTCCAAAATCTGAGTGATTTAGAACATTGTAGTCACCATGAAAAGGGGCCATGATTGGCAAGTCCGCAACTTTTGTCTAAAAGGATTGAGTTGTCATGTCTGAATGTAGCAGCAAGCTGAAGAGAGTGGAACGACCTCAAGCATTGAGATCTGACAGCACTTTTAATGCTCTAAGTTAATATCCAGTTATAAAAACTCCTGAGCCTGCAGGAGCAGCCAAACTCACAAGAAAATGCAAGACCATTCCAAATGGCAAACTTGCAGCATTTCGATTTCCTGACCATCCACGTTAACAATGTTTTCAGAGATGGTCACAATATCAATTTTGGGTGAAAAAAAGTCTCAGTCTCTCTCTGCCAACATGTTACAAGTTGAATACCCAAAACCCAACAAACTTAGGTTACTGAATATTTTACTGAATTTTACTGAGTACATACATGAGGGTCACTTCTATCCTTAGACAGTTTGTACAGCTCCAGTAGGGTTTGGTTAATGTTCTTCTCCAACTGCAGAGCGCACTGCATTGCCTGCAGACCACTGTCCCAGTCATCTTGTTCAGGTCTCTAGAGAGAAAAGTATAGCCTGGTTAGTGATAATCAGGGTGGACAATGAAAGCAAGGGGAATCCATGGAATCTGACTATTCAGTTATTTTTCACAACATTGATTCCTGGGATGAAAGGGTTATCTTATGAGGCAAAATTGAGCATTTTGGACCAGTGCATATTGGAGTTTAGAAGAATGCGAAGTGATCTTATTGAAACAATGACCATGAAACAAACTAGACAGGGTGAATACTGAAAGGATTCTTCCCCTTGTATGGGAATCTAGAACTAGGAGGCACAATTTCCAAATGAGGAGTCTTTCATTTACAACAGATGGAGGAGAATACCTGCTCATTTACATTTTGGAATTCTCTATCCTGGCAGCAATGAAGACAGGGTCATTCAATATATTCAAGGCTGAGTCAGATTTTTGATTACAAGACTATAGGGAGTAGGTAGGAGTTGAGACCAGGATTATATCAGTCAAGATTGTTTTGAATAATAGGCAGGCTCAAGGGGCTTAATAATCTACTCCTGCTCCTATTTCTCACGTCAGAATCTTACCCAATTTTCCAGCAAGCTTTTTGATTGTCAGTGAATTTGCTGAGGGTGAGACCTTAGGCAGTAACACGAGAATGAAGAGATAACACAGTGTGGAGCTGGATGAACACAGCAGGCCAGGCAGCATCAGAGGAGCAGGACAATTGACGTTTCAGGTCGGGACCCTTCTTCAGAAATCCATCCCGACATGTTAGCTTTCCTGCCCCTCTGATGCTGCCTGGCCTGCTGTGTTCCTCCAGCTCCACACTGTGTTATCTGTGACTCCAGTATCTGCAGTTCTTGCTACCATGAGAAGGAAGGCTTTTTTGTTAAGCAAGGGTATTAAGGAATATGGGCCAAAGCTGGGAACATGGCGTTACACCACAGATCAACCATGATCTCATTAAATGGCAGAACAGGGGCTGAATGCCTTATTCTTGGTTCTATTTTCCTTTTTCACTTTGATGCTAATTGGACAACAAACATCTCTAGTAGCATGTGCTCTAAGGGGAAGCAAAGTTAATGTGGAGCTTCAAGGTTGAAATACAATAGAGAATAAGGCTATGAGAAACAACACAGAGCTGCTGTTATACCAACATGTTAATGTCCTAATCTCAGAAGAACATTCTGTCTGGCTCGGTGTGATGATCCCTTCTCATAATTATGGAGGAGTGAATAGAGAACAGATTTGTTCAAGAATTCTTCCAGAGCTGAGTGTAAAACAGGATTCGTTATAGAATCATAGAGTTATACAGCACCACCTTTCAGTCCACACCAACTATGTTCCCAAACTAAACTAGTCCCACTTGCTTGATTTGGTCCATTTCCCTCCAAACCGTTCCTATTCATTTACTTATCCAAATGTCTTTTAATTGTTGTAACTGTACCTACATCCACCACTTCTTCTGGCAATTCATTGCACACAGGAACCACTCCCTGTGTAAAAAGATTGCCCCTCATTTCCTTTTTAAAACTTTCTCTTCTTGCCTTAGAAAATGCCCCCTAGTTTTGAACTCCCCCACTTTAGGGAAAAGACCCTTGCTTTCACCTTATCTATGCTCCTCGTGATTTTATAAACCTCTATAAGGTCACCCTCAACCTCCTATGTTCCAGCGAAAAAAAATCCCGGCCTATTTTTATAACTCAAACCCTCCATAAATCTTTTCTGAACCCTCTCCAATTTAATAATATTCTTCCTATAGCAGGGCGACCAGAACTGTACACTGTACTCCAGAAGAGGCCTCGTTCTTGCACTGGTTCAGCGCTGATGCAAGAATGCCAAATACAAAATTCAAACACAGGGCCCCACTCTCTGCAAACAGAAGGAATGCACCCAGGTAATATGCCTTTTACAATTAAACAAAAGTATACGGGACAATGTTTCCCCAGTGCATCGTCTATGTCAATGTCTTAAGCAATAAGAGTTCATTTGCCGACTAATCAGTACCTTTGCCTCATTCAGCAAAAGTTGTTCTCTTTGAAAATTGGCATTCTTGCATCTGTCCTGATGAATGTAAAGTGTAAAATTTCAACAACGTCTCCCCTTTATCAGCGAGACTTAGGTAGACAATGTTCGCAACATTTGTCACATGACAAAACTGCTCCTATTAGTTGCTTTCTACGAACTGACCTTGATATCTTGCAGGCTGATTCGGCCCCCTCGTTGATTCTGGAATTTCATCAGATTCTCCGCTTGTTCACGTTCCTTGTCTGACTGCTTCTTGAAGAACCTCATAAAGTTGTCCAGGGCAACAGATCCTTGGTCAAAGTAATAGGACTGCAAAATAGGGGACAGGGTGGGGTGAAATGAAAGGGAAATCAATCGAACGGGTTTCTGAAGAAAGATTGTCCGCTTGCCTGAATGAGAAAGATACAGAAGGATTCTGTTTTATTCACTCTTAAGGTATGCTAGGAAAGACCAGCATTTATTGCCTATCCCTATTTACCCCTTGAGAAGGTGGTGGTGAGCTGTCTTTTTGAACCAGTGCTGTCCATGTGGTGTCGAAGGAGAATTAAGAGTCAATCATGTTGTTGTGGGGCTGGAGTCACCTACAGGCCAAACCATGAAGAATTCAGCACATTTCTTTCTCTTGAGAGGCAGGAGTGAGCCAGACAGTTCAATAATTGCATAGTTTGATGGTCATTATTACTGAGAATTGCATTTTAGTTTGGATTTGTTCGTCAATTGAAGTTAAATTCCACCAACTGCTGTGATGGTACTTGTACTCATAGAACCATAGAATCACAAAATCATACAGTCCAGAAAAGGCCCTTCAGCCCATCAAGTCTGTACTGCTAAAAATGTACAGCTACCTTATAACCTTATAGCTGTTCCAGTCTATTTTGGCCTGATTCTTATGTCTCTGGCCATTGATTCAGGACTTTGGATTCTTACTCCAATAATATTTACAACAATGCTATCATCCCTTTGTTCTAACACAATCTCATAATCCTTACCGTACAATCATAGAATCACCAAATTATATAGTATTGAAGAGGCCCTTCGGCCCATTGCGTCTGCACTGTCAAAAATAGACCAAATCTGAACTAGTCCCACTTTCTACACATGGCCCAGAGCCTCGAATGTTATGACACTTCAAATGCTCATTCAAGTACTTTTTTAAAGGTTGAGGTTCCTCACCTCAACTACCCTCTGGGGAGTATATTCCAGACTTTCCCCCCGGTCTACCCCACCAATCCCTCCCTCCCTCCCCTTACTATCCACCGCACTCTGAGTGAGAAAATAATTTCTCAATTTTTCATTATCATTGTGTCAAACAGCAATTCTTTTGTATTAAGAAATCAGCAAAAGAATGTGCTGTTTCCCTCAGATTGTGCCTTAATTGAGAAAAAAAAACTCTTTAGAATCAGAGATAACAAGGTGTAGAGCTGGATGAACACAGCAGGCCAAGCAGCATCGGAGGGGCAGGAAGGCTGACGTTTCGGGTCTAGACCTTATTTCTGAAGAAGGGTCCAGACCCGAAACGTCAGCTTTCCTGCTCCTCTGCTGCTGCTTGGCCTGCTGTGATCATCCAGCTCCACACCCTGTTATCTCAGATTCTCCAGCATCGGCAATTCCCACAATCTTTAGAATCAGGATTACTTCAGTAGTGTGTCGGTTTTAATGGCCATCTGTTATTAACACACATTGAAAGAGAAATGCCTCAGCTGTCTTCAGATTACTGAGGCTCATAATCTGTTATCATTTCATCAGAATCAATCCATTGTTCTCAATGTACTAATACACACCCATGCCTATTCATTTTTTTGGGAAATCATGCAATAAACATATGCCTGATCTCATTAATAACAAGGCATTTTCATTCAACTGTAATATAACAGTCATTAGCGAAGATTAAATATCAGTCTTCAGTTTGCTTTTTGACAGTTGAAACTTGAGGTGATTTCAACTGATTTAGGATAGTCAATAATTAAGGCTAAGACAGAAATTGCTGGAGAAACTCAGCATGCCTGGCTGCACCTGTGGAGAGAAAGCAGAGTATTCACTTCAGGTCCAGTGACCCTTCTTATAGAGTCATAGAGTTGTACAGCATGGAAACAGACTCTTCGGTCCAACTCCTCCATGCCAACCAGATATCCTAAATTAATTTAGTCCCATTTGCCAGCATTTGGCCCATATTCCTCTAACCCCTTCCTATTCATATACCCATCTAAAGATCTCCAGCAATTTCTGTTTTTGTTTCAGATTTCCTGCTTTGGTTTAATAAAGGCCAAGAGATGGTTCCCAAAACCAAGTTCCCAAGTGAGTTGGAGCAAACAGAGAACATGCTGGAGAAACTCAGCGAGTCTGGCAGCATTTAAGCCGAGAGAAACAGAGTTAACATTTTGAGTCCAGTATGACTCTTTCTCAGAACTGAAAGTTGGTAGAGTCATAGGGGTCTGCAGCACAGAGAAGTCTGAGCTGGTCAAAAACAATGACCTAACTAATTTAATCTTACTGGGTGTTGGAACTTCTTTTAATACATTTTTGACAGAGTCGGAGGCCCAATGCAAAAGGATTGCTAACGGTGGAGAAAGAGATGGGGAGATGTAAAATGGGTGTGGATTAAGGTTTGAAAGGGAGAGAAAGGACTCTAACTACTGACAGCAGAATAAATATGACGCGAACAAGTTAAGGCTGTGGGGGGGAATGGGGAACAAGAATGTACAACAAAGGGAGAACAATCGATTTCAGAAGTTGTGGAATTTAGCATTGAGACTTTGAGGCAGTAGCTTTTCTAAGGAAGTAGGATGATTAGTTCAGACAGAACTGTCTTAGAGGAAGGGTTACTGGACCCGAAACGTTAACTCTGTTTTTTCCTTCACAGATGCTGCCAGACCTGCTGAGCTTTTCCAGCAACTTTGTTTTTGTTAAGACTGTCTTAGACTCCACCTTTAGACTGCTTGTAACTATCTTAACTCTGCTCTGAGCAAATGTTAGGCCTCAAATCATGTTCACCAATAAGTGAAAAGCTGCCTGTCTGGGAAATTCAAGGTATCTGTACAGGCATTGAGGCTTTTCCCCTTCAATGGCGAAGATAATGAGAAATGCCTGGGCAGCTTATGGTGTATTGAATTGCTGCATACAGCAAATTAATATAGGGATGAAGGGAAATACAAAGTTGCCATAGTCTTACCAGACTATAGGGCTGTTCCTGTTGCTACTTTCTGTGTCTGATTTTGTTTTTTTATCTAAGATTGATTTAATAGCATTGTACAAGTTTATGACTGGCTTAAGTGAAGGTGACAATATAAACTCTGATTAGCTGATATTACAAACATTTCAAAGTTTTGGGCAAGAGTTTGTGAAGAAAATTCTGTTAATGCATCACGTGTAATGATCTTGAAATTGCTGCTGAGGGAGGGGTGAAAGTGCAAGTGGAGATGATCAATGATTTCAAAAGGAAATTGGATGGAAAGAAATTTGCAGGGCAATGAGGTGAGGGCGGGGAAATAGGACTGATTGTACTGCTCTACAAGAGCCAGTACAGAGATATCAGACTGAATGGATGCCTCCTATCACAAAATGGACTCTTTAACTAGCTTTGACCTCTACACAGTCACAATATTGCCATGATGCCTCATGTTCAGCATTTATGATTAGTTTATACATTCATTACATCAGAAATATGACCAGACTTTAAGTGCAACTGGTAAAACGGTTCATCATTGAACAGAGATAGTGGGGACTGCCGATGCTGGAGAATCTGAGATAACAAGGTGTAGAGCTGGATGAACAGAGCAGGCCAAGTAGCATCAGAGGAGCAGGAAAGCTGACGTTTTGGGTCTAGACCCTTCTTCAGAAATCAGAAATTTTTATCCTTATGCCATATTGATGAAGGACAAATTTATGGACACAATGTGGCAAGAAAGGAAAAAGAAGACTTTGATAAAGTAGCACCTTTTCCCACTGGATTCTCGAGGTGCTTTAAGAAGTATTTAATGAGATACATGTCATAATGTTGGTATCCTGCACTTTTTAATCCATATTTACACTTCCACCGAAAATGCAGAGAAAGGCATGTGCTCCCAGGTTTTTTTTAGTTTTAGATAAACTTTAATGGGTTACACAAGCACAGGTTAGATAGGACATATGCAATATTCCTTAAAGCTGTCTCACATTGAACACAACATCAAACTGCACACCTGGGAATATAGTCTATACATGTTAAAGATTCCTAATAATTGGAAGTCCTGCTCGCAAATATTATTAAATTGAGAAAGGATGGAGGGGGTGCAAAGGAGGTTCACTAGGTTGATTCCGGAGTTGAGGGGTTTGGCTTATGAGGACAGACTGAGTAGATTGGGATTATATTCATTGGAATTCAGAAGATTGAGGGGGTATCTTATAGAAACATATAAAATTATGAAGGGAATAGATAAGATAGAAATAGAGAGGATGTTTCCACTGGCAGGTGAAGCTAGGACAAGAGGGCATAGCCTCAAGATTACAGGGAGCAGATATAGGACTGAATTGAGAAGGAACTTCTTCACCCAGAGGGTTGTTAATCTATGGAATTCCTTGCCCAGTGAAGTAGTTGACGCTACTTCAGTAAACGGTTTTAAAGATAAGGTAGATTTTTTTTGAACAATAAAGGAATTAAGGGATATGGTGAGAACGCGGGTAAGTGGATCTGAGTCCACGAAAAGATCAGCCATGATCTTATTGAATGGTGGAGCAGGCTCGAATGGCCAGACGGCCTACTCCTGCTCCTAGTTCTTATGTTCTTATGTTCTTATGTTCTTATGAATTAGTTTGATTGTCACAGATGTTCAAGTGAGTACCGTGAAAAGTTTACAGTTGCCGCATCACTGCACCATCTTAGGTACAAAGATACAGATACTTAAGATCAAATTCTTAGAAAACAAAACAAAATTAGTAAAGAAATAGCTCAGCATTATAGATCATAGGAATAAATTAGAAAAATGAAGAAGTGAAAAATGAAGAAGTTAAAAATTCAGAATATCAGTCTTTCTGACCCGTCCATGCGGACACCTAGCCTCATCTTAGTTATTCAGCTTAGAATTACGACAGTGCAACAAATGTTCAGTAAACTCAGTCACTTCATGCAAAAGATTGGGGGAAGGAATTATTTTAAGTTCAGGAAAATTATTTTTAGAAATGCTTTCAGTGCGAGTTGCCACTGATCCTTCAAAAGGAAGGTGCATTTTGAAAAGACCAACATGAAATCACTAGCACCCCGGCAGGTTTGAAATTTGCTTCAGATACAAAACTCACCATGGAGAGGTAAACATACGAGGCATAGAGTTCCATGTTGATCATGCGATTGACAGCACTCTCACAGTCCTTGTGATAATTCAGGCGTATATTATGGTCCATGCTGAACAGGTCTTTAATACAGGGTCAAATTGTCTGAAGTGATATAGACTCAGGAATAGCTGCTGCTACCAGGCACTCAGAGTTGGCAGTCTGAAAACATTTCACAGGTGCCTCTGAATTTATATTGTTGCTCAGGCACAGCCCACTCTCCCTTCAAGTTGCTACATGCTTAATGAGTGACAGATCTTCCAACTAATAAAGCAGCTCAGGTGTGAACAGCAGGAGATGGCCTGAGATTTGGCAAGGATTGACAATTCGCTTGGCACCTTCCTGACTTTGTCCTGGTTGTTTAGTCTGCATCTGGAAGAGTTCCGACAGGAGAATTTCAGAGCTTTCCCTCCGAAAGGAAGTTTCCACATGTGGGCCAACCTGGAAAAAGAGGTCACAGTTTTAAGATAAGGGGTGGCAGATTTAAAACAGAGACGAGAGGAATGACTTCTGTCGGGGTGGATGCCAAGACACTGGGTAAATTTAGGGAGGAGATAGACAGATTTTTAATTAGTAATTAGTTAAAAGATTATGGAGAACAGGAAAGTGGGTTGGAGACCAAGATGAGATCAGCCATGATCGTATTAATCGCATAGGAGGCTCAAGAGGCTGAATGGCCTACTCCTAGTTCTTATGTTCTTAGTTGTATATTAGATTAAAAATGATCTTTGGAGAAATCAGCAGGGAAAAGGAAACATTTTGGGTGTGACAGTCTTCTCTCGGTAATCCTAACAAAGGTGTTGATCGATTTTTAAAAAATTTCTTTTTCTGTGTCTGTCTATCCCAATGGGTTCAGCCCTCCTGGAATTTCCTCTAATGTTTGATGTTGATGATCTTAGAGTCATAGAGCTGTACAGCATGGAAACAGATCCGTCGGTCCTACCCATCCATGCCAACGAGATATCCTAAATTAATCTAATCCCATTAGCAAGCATTTGGCCCATATCCGTCTAAACCCTTCCTGATCATGTATCCATCCAGATGCCTTTTAAATGTTGTAATTGTACCAGCCTCCACCACTTCCTCTGGCAGCACATTCCATACATGTGCCACCCTCTACGTGAAAATATTGCCCCTTGGGTCCCTTTTAAATCTTTCTTCTCTCAACTTAAACCTATGCCTTTTAGTTCTGGGCTCCCCCACCCCAGGGAAAAGACCTTCACTATTCACCCTATCCATGCCCCTCATGATTTTATAAACCTCTATAAGGTTCCGATGCTCCAGGGAAAATAGTCCCAGCCTATTCAGCCTCTCCCTTTGGCTCAAATCCTCCAACCCCAGCAACATCCTTGTAAATCTTTTCTGCGCCCTTTCAAGTTTCACAACATCCTTCCTATAGCAGGGAGAGCAAAATTGAATGCATAATTCCAAAAATGGCCGACTCAAAGGAGGTTTCTCCTTGTGGGAGAGACTAGAACGAGGGGACACAGTTTAAAAATACAAGGTCTCCCAATTAAGCCAGAAATGTGGAGAATGTTTTTCTCTCCAACAGTCATGAGTCTGGAATTTTCTTCCTTACAAGTCAATGGAAGAGGAGTCATTGAAGTCTGTAGCTTTGAAACAGACCTTTCAGCCCAACTTGCCCACGCCACCCAGTTTTCACAATTAAACTAGTCCCATTTGTCTACGTTTTGTCCATATCCCTCCACACGTATCCAATCCGTGTATGTGTCTAAATGATTCTTAAATGACAAAATTGTACTCGCTTCCACCAGTACCTCTGGCAGGCCATTCCAGACACTCACCATCTTCCGTGTGAAATGTTTTTAAGTCAGAGATGGTTAGATTCATGACTAACAAGGGTATCAGGGCGTGGTAAGGTGGGGTGGGGGAGGGCTTGCAAAGGAAGCAATGCGGAGTGGAGGTCACAGTCAGATCAGCCATGATCATAATGAATGGTGGAGCAGGCTCGAGAGGCCGAATGGCCTACTCCTGCTTTTCACTTGTAAGTTCATTGTTCAACAGTTAGCTGCTTGGATCATAAATGAGCTGCCTGTGGTGGATCAGGTTCAAACAAGGCATTCAAAATAGGGAAAAAGCAAAGGACTGCAGATGCTGGAGACTCAGAATAAACACAGAAAATGTTGAAGAAACTCAGCAGATCTTTGGAAACAGAAAGAGAGTTAATGTTTCAAGTCCTGTATGACTCTTTTTTTGGAACTCAGAACACTTATGAAGAAGTCATACTGGACTGGAAATGTTAACTCTGTTTCTTTCTCCACAGATGCTACCAGACCCACTAAGCTTCTGCTGCACCCTTCAGTTTTCAATCAAAATGGGAACTGGATCATTATCTAAAGAGGAAAACTTCATGGGGAAGGAGTGGCACTAGGGTGAATTAAACTAAATTGGTATAACTTCTGATCAAATTAAATTCAAGAGGGACCGAAACCGTTATTTGTAAATGGACAATGTGATGGGAAGAATGGCACAAAAGTGAGATGTTCAGAGAACTAGCACAGACAAGATGGGCTGAATGGTCACTCTGCACCAATAACATGACTCTGCATAAGGTGCTGGACAACCAATGGACTGTATATTTTGGTCATACCTTCTACTTTCTTTTTTGTTTTAAAAACTCAGTATTCTATCAAGTATAAGGTAAGGTCACTATAGGCTGACCAGTCCATAGCACTGCTCACTCATTAGGTGGTGGTTTAACCTGAGCGTCACCATGCCTCAGGTGAGGGGAGAGGTTGGGAAAGAGAGACCTTCACAATAACCTCAGCTGACACAGTAATTGAACCCACACTGTGAGCATCATTCTGCTCCCTACACCAACCAGCAGCTAACACACCCTATCCTACCAGTAGGGTTGCAGGAACGTTCACTCTGTCAAATTAGGGAGAATCCAGTGGAAGTGCACTGGGAAAGTACAAAAATAAACAACAGAGTGCAATCCTTAGTTTTCAGTAATATTTCCTTTGTTAAATTGATCTCAAAACTTTAATGTACATAAAATTCCATTCTAATCGAGACAATCTATTAATCCCAAACAAAGTTGCTGAGAAAGCTCAGCAGGTCTGACAGCATCTGTGAAGGAAAAATTAGAGTTAACATTTCAGGTCCAGTGCTGCCAGACCTGCTGAGCTTTTCCAGCAACTTTGTTTTTGTTCCTGATTCACAGCATCTGCAGCTCTTTCAGTTTTTAATCTGTTAACCTTCATGAGATTATGTCATACCATCGAATTAGACAATGGTAGAAGGAAGTCATGATTCTTTTTAATCATTCAGGGATGTGGGAATCCCTAACTGCCCCTTGTGAAGTTGGTAGTGAGCCACCTTCTTGAACTGCTTCAGTCCTTAGAGTGTGGGAACACCCACAGTGCTATTGGAAAAGGAGTTGCAGGATTTTGATCCAGTGACACTGAAGGACAGCAATATATTTCCAAGTTAGGATGGTGAGTGGCTTGGAGGGAAACTTGCAGGTATTTGTGATCCCATGTATCTGCTGCCTTTGTCCTTGAAGTGCCAGAAGTCATGGCTTTGGAAGGTGATGTTGAAGGAGCCTTGATAAAATTCTTCAATGCATCTTGTAGATGGTACAACACTACTCTGGGGTTTTGAAGAAGGCGAATGTTGGACAGGAAGTGTTAGCTTTGTTTCTTTCTTCCACAGATGACACAGACCTGCTGAGGTTCTCCAGCACTTCCTGTTTTTAGTTGAGATTTCCAGCATCCGCAATGAAGTCAGAATTTGTACAGGATGAAAGGAGGCCCTTCGGTCCATGCCATCTGCACACAGTTATCAAACATCAACCCATTCTAAAATAGTTCTGAGGAAGGATGTCTGGATCTGAAATGTTAAATCTGCATTCTCTCCACAGATGCTGCCAGACGTGCTGAGTTTCTCCAGCACTTCCTGATTTCATTTCCGATTTTCAGCATTGTGTAATATTTTGCTTTTATATTATTGTTCTTCCACACCTCTAGCTCTGATCTATCTTTTTAAAACAGGCTGCAGACTCATGTTTACAGCACACAAGGAAATATACGCATGCCAGTTCCGATCTGTCAGAGCAAATCAGCTAATCCCACCCTTTTCCAATAGTATGAAAGCAAAATACTACATATGCTGGAAATCAGAAAAATCAAAAAGTCCTGCAGAAATTCAGCATTTGTGGAGACAGAAATGTAGCAAGTTCAGTATAACTCTTCTTTGGAAGGTGGTGGTTAAGATTTACAAGGATGTTGCCGGGTTGGAGAGTTTGAGCTGTAGGGAGAGGTTGAATAGGCTGGGGCTATTTTTCCTGGAGGGTCAGAGGCTAAGGAGTAACCTTATGGAAGTTTATAAAATCATGAACATCATGGATAGGGTGAATAGCCAAGGTCTTTTCCCCAGGGTAGGGGAGTCCAAAACTAGAGGCCATAGGTTTAAGGTTAGAGGGGAAAGATTTAAAAGGGACCTGAGGGACAACTTTTTCACACAGAGGGTGGTGCGTGTATGGAATGAGCTGCTGGAGGAAGTAGTGGAGGCTGGTACAATTGCAACATTTAAAAGGCATCTGGATGATATATGAAGGGTTTAGAGGGATATGGGCCAAATGCTGGCAAATGGGACTAGATTAATTCAGGACATCTGGTCAGCATGGACAAGTTGGACTGAAGAGACTGTTTCCATGCTGTACAGATCTATGACTCTATTCAGCTGTTGATAGAGGAGGAGGAGAAACAAGTGGAACAGATGGTTAGTATGCCCAGAGCAACAGACAAAGGGAGTCCCAATGGTGGTGAGGGAGTAATAGAAATGGTCAATAGGTGTAAATGTTAGCTGTGTAAAGGAGAAAATGAGTCTATACCTCGATGAGCAAAGTTGGCGATAGGCAATGTGCCTTACACATTTTACAGCCACTAGGTCTCAAATTGAGTTCTATATTAAGGTTGTGATAACCCCTACAAGGCCCATGGGGAATCACTAATTAATCTCCACATGGAGCTTGGTGACCATGTGTTCGTTGGGTAACAAGCAATGGCTTATCCAGCTGGAACTCATCACCTGAGCCCTTTGATTGATTGATTGATTGATTGATGTACTGTCACGTGTACCAAAGTACTGTGAAAAGCTTTGTTTACAAAAAATACAGGCAGATCATAGTAAACAACGATGCACAGATCAAATGCATAGACAGAGACAGAGGCATACACATTACATTGCACAGGGCTTGCGCTGGGTAAAATCAACATTAGCAAGATCAGTGTTGTTTGAGGCTGGACAGTTCATTCATCAGCCTGATAACGGCCAGGAAGAAGCTGTTCCTGAACCTGTTGGTGTGTGTGTTCAGGCTTCTGTATCTTCTGCCTAACGGGAGAGGTTGTAGGAGATCATTACCAGTGGGATGGGTCTTTGATGATGTTGGCAGTCTTTCCATGGCAGCGAACCATGTAAATAGAGTCCATAGATGGAAGGTTGGCTTCTGTGATGGCCTGGGTTGTGCACACCACCTTCTGTAGTTTCTTATGGTCCTGGGCAGAGCAGTTGCCATACCAGGCCATTATGCACCCAGACAGTATGCTTTCAATGGTGCACCTGTAAAAGTTACTGAGAGTCCTTACGAACATACCAAATTTCCTGAGCCACCTGAGGAAGAAGAGATGTTGTTGTGCCTTCTTGACTGTTGCATCTATGTGGGAAGTCCGGGACATGTTGTCAGTTATCATCACTCCAAGGAACTTGATGCTCTCCACCCTCTCAACCTCAGTTCCGTTGATATGGATGGGGGCGTGTTCTCCGCCTTTCTGCTTTTTGTAAAGTAGACCCGTGCCATACAGGTGTTTTCCTGGTGATGAAGAAAATAAAATTAAAATCTAGTCATAATGGTGTCTTCTTTTTCTCAGAAAAAGATAAACAAAAGGACAGGGAGTGGGACCCTCTTGTGGTGCACTTGTAGAGTCTTTATCCCTGGACCAGGAGACCCAGATTTAAGTCCCACTAATGCCAGAGGTGTGTGATTACATCTTTGAACAAGTTGATTAGGAACAGGTTGATTAAGAAAAAGTAAAGCAAATCTGTCTGCTGGTTATAGAAAAAAGTAAAGCAGACCCATAAAGGCTCTTGTAGTATCCCTACCTTTGAGCCAGGAAGCCCGGCTTCAAGTCCAACATATTCCAGTGGCATGTCATAACACCTCTGAGCAGGTTGATTTGAAAAAACAAACAGACCAACACCAATAAAAACCAAAAGAACTATGGATGTTGGAAATCAGAAACAAAAACAGAAATTGCTGGAAAAGTTCAGCAGGTCTGGCAGCATCTGTGGAAAGAAATCAGAGTTAACATTTTGAGTCCAGTAACCCTTCCCCAGAAGACCTACATCAATTTTTACTTTGTTTATTTATTTTAATCTTTTTAATTAATTTTTATTGATGTAGGTCTTCTGTTCAGAGATGTTATTACCCACCACTGGAATATGTTATGCATGAAGCCATGCCTTCTGGTTCAAAGGTACGGAAACTACAAGAGCCTTTATGAGTCTGCTTTACTTTTATTATAATCAGTAACCAGTAAAAACTCCTGTGTATCCAACTGAGTATTTACAAGCAAAGCTCATTGTGGGCAATTTTTTAAAATATCTAACCAAACTGTTCAGAGATGTAATTACACACCTTTGCAACAGGTTGACGTTGAACCTGGGTCTCTTTGTCCAGAGATAGGGACACTACCACTGCACTACCTACTCCCTGACCTTCTTTTTCTTGACACCTTTAGAGTGAAATGGGCACCATGAGGGATACAGTGCTTTATTTTCCTTTCTAACTGCATTTTAATTTAGAACCTCCTGCTCTCCCTACCACCCCACTTCACCCTACTCCCCTCCCTTTTGGTGTCCATTGCCCGTAATGGGCTTCGCATATAAATTTCTAATTGGCTACATGGATGGTTTACTAGTGGCACAAAATGGTTTTAAAAAAGTTTATGGTGATTTGATGGTGGGAAAGTTGTTCAGTTGCATGTGATAACACTTCCAGATATATTTTTTAAAAAGACCGAAGTCATGGGAGAAAAAAGTTTTGTTTTGTGTAAGGGCACTTCTGGATATTCAACAAAGGAAAAATAAAGGAAGGAAGTCCCAGATGAGCTCCTGTAGTGCAATTGTAGTGCCCTAACCTCTGAATCAGAAGACCATTGTTCAAGTCCCACCTGCTGCAGGGATGTGTAATGACATCTTTGAACAGGTTGTTGAAAAAAAATAAAGCTGCTCCAGAGAGACCTATTGGTACAATGGTAGTGACCCTACCTCTGGTCTGTGCAAGGCCTGGGTTCCTGTTCCAGAGGTGTGTAAAAACATCTCTGATCAGATTGATTTTTTCTTTTTTGAAAAAGCAGGCCCAGGGATGGATGCTGTATTGGGTTGGGACGTGCCTATATCCTGCCACGAGTGGTGGCTGTATTTCAGGGTTCAACAGTAAACGACATTGCTTTCCAGTCAGGTTTCCTGAGTTATTACAAGTAAGACCTCTGTCCTCCAGGTTTCTTACATCCTCCGAACCCTCTCAGAGCCCTGGCTGGTTTGTATCTGCTCTTGGCAGCGCAGACCCATTTTCACCTTTTGGCGACTAATATTAACAGCCATGGAATACCCAGATTGGAGCTGGAGGAACACAGCAGGCCAGGCATCATCAGAGGAGCAGGAAAGTTGACGTTTCCGGTCAGGAGCCTTCTTCACAAATGACCCGAAACATCAGTTTTCCTGCTCCTCTGATGCTGCCTGGCCTGCTGTGTTCCTCCGGCTCCACTGTGCGTTACCTCTGCCTCCTGCATCTGCAGTTCTGACTATCCTCAGTGAATTAACACCCATCTAACATCTCTATCTCTCCTTTGCCACCACAGGCGCTCCCTCACGATTTGTTCCACTTGCTCCACCTCCCCTTCCCTCAACGGCATCAAAAACACCATTTTCCGCACCTTTCCAGTTCTAAAAGAGTCAAAGTGGATTTGATGCGAAAGCTTTGTTTCCCTCCGCTGAATTTTCACCAGCAACTCCTGTCTTTGTTGTAAAAAAAAGGGTGGATGCCACACCCAAGATGGCAGACCAACGGGGCCGACCCGCCCAGACGCTGCTCAAAATGGCGGGCAACGGACACGCCACGCTCAAGATGGCGGCCACGTGGCACCGCCCCTTCCCCGACACGGCGGTTGGGCTGCGCGCGACCCTCCCCCCCTACCCGCCCTTTTGGAGCCAATCAACGGCAGCGGACCCGGCGCGCGTGTTCCCGGCCCGGGCGCGAGCACGGCGACGTGCGCGTGCGCCGCCCCCGACGCCGCCGCTGGTCGTCCATGAGCCCAGGCGATGGGCAGCCTGTGGCGCCTGTTACCGGGCCGCTGCCGCCTCCTCCTGGTGGCACACCGCCTCCCGGGCCCGTCTTGCTACCCCTTCGCCGCCCGGACACAGCTGCAGGTCCGGAGGGGGACGCAGGGCCCGCGGAGATGGGGCCACAGCCGCCAGGACTACCCGAGGGAATGTGAGGAAGGCATCAACAGACAGATCAACCAGGAGCTCACCGCCTCCTACGTCTACCTGTCCATGGTGAGAGGGGATCCCAGCGGGGATCCAGCAGATCCCAAGCACTCCAGCACACCTCAGTGGGCAATTCAGCGCATCCCATTTACTCCAGCAGGTCCTATTTGATCCATTATATCACAGCAGGGCATCCAGTAGATCCCATTCACTCCAGCACACCCAGTGGGGAATCCAGTAGATTTCCATTC